AAAAATGACAAAAATATTCACCAAAATTAGAGAATAAAAGATATCATTACAAAATGAACAAATCTGAGAGAGGTCCACATGTAGTACCTATATATGTAATATCAAAGCAATTGCACTTGCGGTTTTTAACAAGAAGTCGAAAATATCAGTTTTTACCAAAAATGACAAAAATATTCACCAAAATTAGAGAATTAAAGATATCCTTACAAAATGAACAAATCTGAGAGAGGTCCACATGTAGTACCTATATATGTAATATCAAAGCAATTGCACTTGCGGTTTTTAACAAGAAGTCGAAAATATCAGTTTTTACCAAAAATGACAAAAATATTCACCAAAATTAGAGAATTGAAGATATCATCACGAAATGAACAAATCTGAGAGAGGTCCACATGTAGTACCTATATATGTAGTATCAAAGCAATTGGACTTGCGGTTTTTAACAAGAAGTCGAAAATATCAGTTTTTACCAAAAATGACAAAAATATTCACCAAAATTAGAGAATTAAAGATATCAACATGAAATGAACAAACCTAAGAGAGGTCTACCCAAGGTACATATACACCAAGTATCAAAGCATTTAGGCTTGTAGTTTTCAAGAAGAAGTCGAAAAAGTAAAACATTGACACGGACGACGACGACAACGACGGACAATCACTCGTATAATAAGCTCCGCTCAACAAAGTCGAAAGCGGAGCTAAAAAAAAAAAAGAAAAAAAAAAAATGACCAGATATTTCATATTTTTCGGTCGGTCGCTGAGAGCAATAAAACAATTTTTTTTTTGGTCTAATTGGACTCCTCCTTACCCCTCTCATATCCGCTGCATGTATTTTCATCTGCCGTAGTAACATTACACACTCTTTGGTAATTATTTTCACATCGTCTGTTGGAGTCATCAATGTACTTGACTTTGCTATATTATCACAGACACCATGACCCATGAACTTAGCCGACTCAAGGGGAGCGCTTGATTTCCTTGCTTTCAACTTCAGCGTTATAGTCTTGCCTCGCATTTTGATGTTCTTTAACCTTTTTTGCACCTCGGTTGATAACTCAGTCAAGAAGTCTTGAGCTTCACTGTCCTGATTAAAACAAAATTACACATCTCAGATGTCAGGAATCAGATGAACGTCATTTGTTTGTAAAATCGGAGCCATTTTTCAGAACACACATTGACAGATTCCTTAGAAACTTGGTGTAAAGACATTTGATCATGTACATTTTTGTATCCTATAACATGAAAGTATCTGCAACTGATTCATAGAGATAACTGGGACTATTTTAATCAAACATAATATGATGAAGATAGTTAAAGATGCAGATTACATTTTCTTGGAGATCTGATTCAAGATGGTTGACTGGCAGCCATTTTTTTCACTATGTCTCAATATGTTTCTCTGGCTCTATAATCCAGGGATCCTATTACTTTCGGAGTTGGTATATGCACCTTACTTTGTTTTGTGTTTTAAACAAATTTGGCCAACTGGCAGCCATTTTGGAAATTTGCAATTGCCAATGAATGAATTATATGCTGACATGTTTGACCCTGTACATGCTTTTGTTCTGTTTCGCAAATTTTGATGTTACATTATGTGGTCACAAACATACACGAAATCTTGGATGTAGTGTTATAATAGTTTTTATTCCACTCTCACATTGATAGGATAATCTAATATTTGAGTAACCTGTGCAGTCAATATACACCTGTGTGAAACGAATGCCATAGTTGATTTCAGCAGACACAGATTTCCTTTCCTTGTCTGCAGTGATTGGTCTCTCATCAATACCTCTACAGTAATTGTACAAAGACTGTCCAGTCTTTGGTCCAAACTCTTGTTGTAACATTCTCAATGGTTTATCTTGCAGTTCTCCGCATGTCGTCAGACCCATAGTTTCCAGTCTGTGATTCAGTGATGATCCAACACCTACCAACAAAAACATTTGGTAAAAATGCAAGCCATTTAAATTATTTTATGTTATACAATTACTGTGAGTCTGTGGAAATGTAGTATAGCCTTCAACTCCACTATGAATCCTGGTATTCTTAGAGGTGGAGCTACGTCTCAGAACGTTCTACGTTGGTAAGATGTGCACCACTGTACCATGTATTTCTATGGGCTCTGTGTGCGCTGCTGTGGAACGCCGATCGAAAAGCCGGTGAAAAAAGGTAGTTGAAACAAAAAACTCAACTTTGAGGTAGTCTGGAGCAACCAAATTTATATATGTTGCATGAAGCCAGATGATTAGGTGCCATATGCAAGTTTGATCACAAATGTAGTATGTGTTTACTTTGATTTGACGTAGTATTTACCGTATTTACTATTAATCCACTAATTTATGAGAAATTGACCTGCCAAACATTTCTAGTAAGTTAATTATTGTTTTTACCTATGACTTAAAAAAACTGAACACAGAATGTGAAGAAAATTGACATAGTTAAAGGTGAATTTTCACACAGTAACAAAGGTCAAATTGAAAATAAAATTCAAGGTGAAAGTTAACAATATTTTAAGGTCAAATTTCACACTTGAGTTCATGGATCAGAGTTGAGACTCGAATTCAAAAGTTAACAATTTAATTTTTTTTAATTCAAGGACCACTGTTCATAACCTGGAATACAAGAATAGCACTAAATATTAATAAATCAAAAAATATACCAACCTGGAAGACCTTTGAGTAGCTGAGTTTTTATAAACTCTGCTGCAGTGTCTGCTTGAAGGTAAAACTGACCATTGGGTTTAGCAATCCTTGTTGCCATTCTTGCAAGTAAGATATTTGGGGCTAGAAACAAAATTTGGCAATAAAATTAGTCAAAAATACAACAAGATTTTAAACGATGGAAAGTTGAGAAGTACATACATTAGAGCATCACATTTGTTCTACATCATGTTCTATATGGGTCCCATGCAACAAATGTGTGTAAAAAACATTGTTTACATGAAAAACAAAGTTGAACTGCGTAAAGGAATACAGCACTTCAAGTGTTAATAGATAGGCTTGATACTGATTCTTTTATTATTGTATTATTTTGTTATTAGCTTCCTCAGTTACTTTGTTTTACAGCAAAGCTTGATCTGTTGAAAATTTTAGAATTACATAATGTTAAAATTATTTCATATTTATATTTAAGATTCAGACAAGCAAATAATTTACAAGGCCAGGATCTCAATGAAAGCATAAGTCACATGACATGTTTTTCTCCACTAAATAGTGTTTCATTCTCTATCAGTATACAGTCCACTGTTCTAAATACTATGAAGTCAATGAAATGATGAGAGCAAAGACTATTTGAGGAGAAAAAACAAGTCTTGTGGGTTTCTTGCTTTCAACAAGATCTTGATGACTATTTTCAACTAAGGTGTATATTTGGGTCACTATCATCTACACATGATGTCCACATATGTTCTGTTACATCCACAAGAATAGTTTCTATAGCTATGTAGTTCTCGACAAATCTCACAAATGTAACAACCACTGCAATATCTGTATTAGAAGCCACAACTTGTATCAAAATGGTAAAATGCCATAGAGGGGGATGTGGTTTCTATTAGAGCATCTACACATATGAGAAATGGTAAAGTTTCGGTTCTCAACTGGGTGTGGCTTTTCATACAGATTTTACAGTAATAAAATATTATTGGTGTACACATATGAAAAATGGTGAATTTTAGGTTCTCAATCGTTCAAAATGAAAGAGTGCGACTTCTATTGGGGATGCAGTTTCTATTACAGATTTTACAGTGCATCCATTACCTATGCCAGCTGAAGCATTACAACCAGTCTCTCTGTATAATTCCTCTCTTATTGCTGTTGCCACTTGTAATGGCGTACACATATGAGAAATGGTGAATTTTAGGTTCTCAATCGTTCAAAACGAAAGAGTGAAACTTCTATTGGGGCTGCAGTTTCTAATACAGATTTTACAGTGCATCCATTACCTATGCCAGCTGAAGCATTACAACCAGTCTCTCTGTATAATTCCTCTCTTATTGCTGTTGCTACTTGTAATGGTGTAACCTTAATACCATTGATGATGTCACTAATATCAACAAACATCTCATCACAACTGACTGCTTCGATATCATGAGTATAGCTGAAAAAAAAAATATTATAGTCAAGACATTTCAAAATATTCTAGCGCCTTTAAATTACACATCTTTGAAGCACACTATTATACTCATATTTATTCAGATGCCTTTCCCTCCATACAAACTAGCTAGAAACATTCATAAATTGTTGATTTAAAGAAAGATTTCTCATGAAATGTTCAATACTACAACATTTCTCTATTTTCCACTTTGAAAATTTACATGATTTTATAAATGCTGTGAAATAATTTTGAACTTACACTCTGAAACAGCCATCTAAGCATTACTGAAGCACATAGATTTTTTGTGAAAATTATGGTCATTCTATGGTACGTCACTGATGCAACAGGAAATCATACATTGAAAGAAAGAATTAAGTTTTTGGAACAGACATTGAGATCACGTCTTCACAATATCTCAAAAATCATTTATTTTAAGAAGGGATCTTCAATCTTTTTGGGAAGTTGTTCACCTACCCGGGCATATATAGCAAAAATAAATATGCCAGCTGATATTCACATAGCCCCACTCTCAGTAAACAGTGAATATACATGCCTATAGCAGGGCTGTAAATTTAAGGAGGCCATGAAGGCAATTGCCTTGATGCCCTACTACCCAACAGACTTGGTCTCTTAAAATTTTGGCTACACAGTTTCAATGGAGAAAAGTTGTTTTGCCTCAAAAATGGGTTCCATCACAATTTTCAAATCCAAGATCTGACATCATTACATACCTTGCTACAGTTTTATACAAGATTTGTGAAACTTCTTTGTATTTCTCAAAATCATACGGAATCGCTTGAAGATCTGGACATAATTTCTTGGCTTGTCCCATGAACATACCATTTTTTATCCCAGCCTTCCTGGCTTCATAACTACACGATGCAATTTCAGCCATTGAAGTAAAGGTTTTTGTTGAGTCTAGCTCTGATATGCTGGTACTGTGTACAACTGAAGAGTCAGTTAGACATGGAGCTGCAGCTGTATTCATCTGAATTTTGTCGCCAGACATACTTTTCCCTTTCACGACTTTCTGTTTATGTCTATTTTCATAGTAAGCCTTCTCGAACTCTGGATCAGCTCCAGGACGATTAGTCAATTGCGTACCTTTTCCTTTTGAGTGAGTCACAGCGACAGGTGTTCCTTTCAATTCTGGCCGACTAAGCAGACCAACGGATACAAAGAAACAGTCCATATCAATATGCATGATCACTCTCTCAGGCTTATTACCACCTTTCTTATCACTATGAAAACCAAAATCATGTACTTTGTCATCACTTCGAGAACTTGCATAAAGTTTCTTCAACTTTTCTCTTCCACTGAAAACAGCATCACCTTCAGTTTGTAATTTTTTGACAAGGTCCTTGAACTCTGCACCCCAGGTCGCAATATGATGGAGTCGAGAATTGGTATAAAATTCTGACACAAAGTTAGGATCTCCAGCCTTTGCTGGTAACCTTTGATCTATGTTCTTTCCCATCAATTGTGCAGATTGAGGAGATTCTTTAGACTTTTTTCTGCAATCTCCATCATTCATGTTAGTATCAGTCATTACTTCATTTTCATCAAAACTCATTACTGAATTATCCTGATTAACGCAAACAGAAGTTACACTTTGGCTGGATACTTTAACTGGACTAGAAATCTCCAGATTTCGTAATTCGTAATTTTCTATTTCCATATTTGTGAAGTCTGAACTCTCTGGTTCTTGATTGGTCAAATCAGAACTATCTGATTCATGATTGGCTAATTTACCACTCTCTGGATCCTGAGTGGTTAATTCAGAGCTCTCTATTTCCATTTGTAAAAACTCTGATTTCTGATTGGCTGGATCATCCCTATTCTCTGAGTCTTCACTGGCTATGCTAGCACTGCTTGTTGCCTGATTGGCTGACGGTGGATCAACTTTAGTAAACCTAATTCCAGGCTGTGATTTAGATTGCTTTGTATACAGCATGTATGGTGGACATGATAAGAGTTTACCAGCTTTTATACTGTGAAAGAAAAACCAATTGATAATTTATTAGATAAGTAAATGACCCCCTAAGACTGCAGATAATTAACTACAGGTAAATGGCACTAGGTATAGGATACCCAAGGCTGTTGATTGATAATTTAGCACTTACCCATGTTGGAAATTAACTATTATCATGGATGACAACTCAGACTGTGAATAATAGCTTAAAGGGTGGTCGTCATGCAGCGCCCTGTTCGATATGGGACTCATAGCAACGTACACAATGCATGTAAAATAAATTGCTAATTTACATAAAATTCAAACATGCTGCAATTGACACCCTAGATTTCTGAAAGTAAGCCATTCACCTGATATGATAAAGAACCCACTAACAATTGGATTGCTAGATTGCTGAAAATTAGCTGAAAGAATAAACAGCAACCTTGGAGACCAAAAATGTAGTATAGATTGGTGAAAATGCAAATAACACCCAAGGTGCTACTGAGATACAGCTGAAAAGTGGACAGATATTCCCGTCAAAAGCAAGGATTCATCAGAATACTACAGTGCTTCAGACATTTTAAGAATATTTGTATTTAATATCTCAATTATTAAAAGTGGGTTGTAGAAAAATAAATACGATATAATCATTCTGTGTACAAAACTGCTAAAAAAGAAGAAACAATGTTACTGCTAGGCAATGTTCAGATGTAGTTGAACATACCTGTCTAATATCCAGTCTGCTTTCATGACTTTTTTATCTTTAATATCTAGTATTTTACTATGAGGTAAGGTGGTAGCGATAATATGAGTTACTGTTGTCTTTCTGTAATAAAAAGTATGGCGCCCTCCATGTAACATCATAAGTCGTTTCAATTCATCCGATGATGGAACTGAAAGTGAAATAACACATTCAGTGAGAAAAAGGTGTCAAAAAACAAAATATTCAATATATATTTTTATAAAAGCCAGTTTAACCCTCTGAATACCACTTTTTTAACATCGTTGTAATATATTTGTCTGTATTTTCCTAATTAGTTAATTATTTTGGACTAATTTATATTTTTCCATTGCCTACAGATTATGATCAAAAATTTGTTGAAGTTAGACAAATTCTGCATTGATGTTCGTTAGTTAGCAAGCATCTGGAATTCCAAGATTGTGTAAGGTGAGAAAATCCTATATTTTCAACAGAATAGAAAAGGGTATACAAGGAATACATCATTCCTGTAAGTAGCACCATCTGGGGGCAGAGTTCTTTGCCGTAAATTCTATAGACCATTTTCTCAAGAGTCAAAGACACAACGTTTGGCATACAAGCACATAAATGTAAGTGTAACAGTTTGTGACATGTCATACATTTAATAGGTAATGTATTCATCGTAGCTCATGTCATTACAGTTCAGAGCAATCAAAAAAAAAATATTAAATATTTTTTGAACATTTTGTTCTTTGACAAAAAACTGAAAAAAATATACTAGTAAAATACTTTATTTTCGCTTGGAATTTATTTTCGCTGAAGGAGTGTTTCAGTGAAAATAAAATCCAGCAAATATACCTTTTTTCCTATATTTTACATTCAACTCACCAAAAATCAGTGAAAATAAATTCCATACAAAATACCCAAAAAGTCTTTTCAGCAAAAATTAATTCCAGTGAAAATAAAATATTTCACAGTAATATGAGAATTAATATTAAAAAAAAAAATTGCATTTATAAAGGTTTTTAAACATGACATTAATTCCCATTGCATTCAATGAATTCTATCCCATAATGCACTATTATTATTATGTTTAGTCACACACTCAGTAGATAAATTCAACTTGTGAGCATGAACAAATGTGCAATGCATTATGGGAGCGAATTTACCATTAAATATAATTGAAAATTATTATTTTAAAAATTAAAATTTTTGAATATCGTTAACAATATTAGGATTCACAACAATAACAATATATGGTTATTTAGCCTATGTTATGGAGTACAATTTTGAGATACGAAAAAAACAACTACGAAATGCTGTTTTCCATATTTCACATTTATATTTTGAGAAATTGTCTGACGACTCCAAATTTTATTATTTCATTTTCAACTTGATTAATGAAAGTATGAATAAGATTAAAGCGGGAGGGTTGTCACCTGTGTTTAAGCGGCAATTGAGTCCCAAGCGACGATAACAACACACGCTAAAACACAAAGGCTCATGGGTAGACGCTTGTTTGTAAACATTGACACGCTGTGGCGCAGGTGACAACTCTCTCGCTTTAAAGTGTTATTTGTGCTAAGCTGTTATTTTTATAGGTTTTGTTAGATTACCTGTGTAGCCATTGACATAGATGGTAACACCTTCAAATATTTTGGAACTAGAGCCTTGCCGTTGTATCTGACGTGGTACATCTTCTCCAAATTGTTCATCAAGTTTTCGTTTTTTGGCTGCCATATAACCACCCTGATGGAGCAACAAAAAAATTACATCTTGTTATAGGTTATACTATAAAGAATAACTTTTTTTACAAGCATAAAGCTCTCAATGTCTCAGAACTAAGCCTCTTAACATCACATTATCCAGAATGAAAATTAATTCTTAGCAATATTTGTTAAACAATACAAAATTTTATTTAAATATCAATTTTTTGTATTTTCAAGGTAATAATCTGATATCATACTCCTGTACCAATCTGTTTAAAATCTTATATATTGTAATGTATGTTTTTGTGTTCATTCCAAAAATTCAAACTACATTTGTGGATCTTATTTTATCCCCATCTTGTGGGTTATGAACAATAAATTAAAATAAAATAAAATATATATTAAAAAAATATTTAAATGCAAATTTAAAAAAATATAAAATTAAGCAAGGCAATCCAGCTGATGGTTTTGAAGAAGAGGTCATTTGAATGAAAAAAGTTGGTGGACGACTATGAACGACAACATGTGTGGTCAACCCATGAGCTTCGCTCGGTCATCTTCAATGACAGCGGAGATAACAAGTAGAAGCTAGGATCTTATTTTTATAACATTGATTCACTGAATTGAATCCACCCGAACATGTAGAAATAACTAAATAACTTTGTTTTCCTGGCAAACTCATGAATTTGAAATCCAGTGAAAATATCAGAATAGTGAAACTAAATGCTCGTGAAAAGAGTATCTAAGGAGCGATGGGAGAACGAAAAGATTTTCCAGTGTACCCCCACCTCTAATCCTAACTTTAACCAAACCCTACCCTTTATTGCCCCCTCAAATTAATTGTACATATGCCCCTCTAAAGTATAGCGTATAACTAAAGTACATGTATACGATACATATAACTAAATTTGGGGGCAAGAGGGTTAGATTACAGTTAGAGTATATATGAAAAGTGATTCAAGAATCAAAAAATGAATAAATGCACAGCAGAAATATATATCACACAGGGAGGGACCTGGAAAACTATTAGCCCATGGACGTACGTCCATGATTAGCCTAATGTGGTCATCAAATTCATTAAGAAAAAAAAAACACTCTTTAGACTGTAATTTAGGCCAAAGACCAAATTCGAAAAGAAGGTGGGAAACGACACAAGCAGCCGGGACACACGAATGGGCACACGTTGACTGACCGTAACTCGACCAAAACAATGTTAATTGACGTGTGTGCCTTGACAGACAGTCGATCACGAACCTCTTCGCTCCATCCGCCATCACCAAACTTTCTTCTTCCTCGTCTACTCATAGTCGGTTACTTGTGTTCAGCGCGGCAGACAGTGGTTCGTATTTAGCTGAGCTTCGCATTTTATTGTATACATTTGCTGACATCATCAGTATTTTCGTTTTCTCCGCCAACTTGATCTAACTTGTATGTTTAGATAAGAGTTGTTTCTTTTCTCCAATGTGTTTCGCAACCTGTGGTGGCGCTAGTTTTAAATAAGGAAAACATAGCAAAGCTCTGGATGCCTTGCCCACAAACAACGATAGGCGATTTTCCGTATTACGTTAGACTTGCATAAAGTCTTTTGTTTGTTTTTTGGTGCTTTTCAATACTATGTAAGTGTATAAATACCGTGGCCTACCTGGCTTTCCCCATCTTACACTCAAATAATATTTCATTAACACTGAACGTCAGCCACAAATGTTTTCACATTAATACGACACTATGACCTTTTTGTTTGTCCTGTTTTTTTTTTGTTCGATATCATGCATCTTGCAGTGAACGAAAAATTACTACCCAATAATTGTGCAACAGTTTTGAAACAATTTTTTTACAAATTTGTCAGCTCTGTTATAGTTGTCCTATATGTACATTCATTTGAATGTAATAAGCCATCAGAATATTTTTTCTGGTAGTTCATATCTTTCAACGGGCATTACAACATAATTACATTTACAAATTCTACAGTCATTTGACTCAGACCCAAGATGTAAGCATTAGTGTGAGTTTACAATAGTCTGTTACTATCAACACCACAAACAAACACCTTTTTCTTGACTTGTATAAATATTTATTAATTTCACTGTTCAAACTGACACAAGGTTTCTATTGGCCAATGAGAATACTTCAAACTGACACAAAGTTTCTATTGGCCAATGAGATTACTTCAAACTGACACAAGTTTCTAATGGCCAATGAGATTACTTCAAACTGACACAAAGTTTCTATTGGCCAATGAGATTACTTCAAACTGACACAAGGTTTCTATTGGCCAATGAGAATACTTTTGAATACCCGGTACATGTATTTTCAAACGGAGTGTCTCGTGCCACGCCCGTGGCAGGAGACAATATGGCTACTGCCACGGGCGTGGCAGGAGACAATGTGGCTATTGCCACGTCCCGGAAGTA